CCGCGCACCCCTATTATACGCGCTGGCTGCAGTGCAGAGGGCCGTTTCTGGCACGGTGGCGTTCCACGCGGTGCCCGCGGCGCGGTGGCGGATTTTCGCGACGTGCAGACCGTTGCCAAAGCCTACGTTGCCCTCGGCTTCGCCCCCTTTGACTCTGTGAGTATCTGGGGGTTCAACAGCCCAGAGTGGATTATCCAGCTGCCTACGGCAGGTCTGGTTGCCCGCGCCAGCCCAGCACCTCGGCCGTCTTGGCAGCCTTCGCGACCCCCACGGCGACGCCATTGCTCAGGAGGGAAAAAAACACACAGACACAATTAATCTGCGATTCCTTAGAACATATGGGAACATGTGGGAAGTGGGGGGGGAAGACAAAAACCCAGAAAATATGTGAAAATATTGGGGATCTGGTTATTTGTGTGTATTTATTTGTGTGTCCCAGGGCCCCTTCAATTGCCGCCCAGGGACCTCCAGGAGAAGGGGTGGTGCACAAGCGGGCGCGACGCGACGGGTGGGTGGGCGGGGCTGGGCCCTTGAGACGATTGCAGAAACCTTGCCAGGCAGCACCTGGCATTCTTCCACGCCTTACAGTGCAAGGAGGCACGGCGGCGGATATCTGCTGTTGCAGGCCCTTGCGCTGGTGGCAAGATGGCTGGCCTATACCCCACAGATTCTCCAGAAACCGCGGCTTACAAGGTCGTGCATTCTGGAGCATCTGTGCTCGTACTGGAGGACAGGGGCAAGCTGACGAAGATCGTGAAAGGCCTCAACGACCGTGGTGATTGCAGACGCCTGAAGGCCATCGTCGCTTGGGCCTTCGAATCTGTTGCCGATGAGAAGGTCGAGATCGCGGGAGTGGGCTCTGTCCCGGTTTTGAGTTGGGCTGGCCTACTTCAGAAGGGTAAGGCCTTCGAAGACGCGGGGGAGTTGCAGAAGCGTCAAGACGCTACGAAGCCTGGCAACTGTGCGGCCTTGATATACACATCTGGAACCACTGGGGACCCCAAGGCCGTGATGATTAGTCACGACAACATTCTTTATGAGTCCAGGGTAGTGACCAAAATGATAGGAGAATCCTGTGATTTCACAATGACTGGAGAGCAGGAGCGTGGACTGTCCTATCTGCCCCTATCTCATGTGGCAGGGCTGATGCTCGACATTGTCTCGCCGATGGCCAACAGCAGCGGCACGTCTTACTCGACGATGTTCTTCGCTCGCCCTTACGACTTGAAGGCTGGATCCGTGAAAGACCGCCTGCAAGTGGCCAAGCCAACTGCATTCTTGGGAGTCCCCTTGGTCTGGGAGAAGATCGCCGACAAGATTCGTGCTATTGGTGCCTCGACCACTGGCATCAAGAAGGATCTCGCCAACTGGGCGAAGGACGTAGCCCTGACCAAGGCAAAGAACAGTCAGCTTAATGGAACCTATGAGCAACCCTGGGGCTTTAGCATCGCGGATACGCTTATCCTAACAAAGATTAAGGAGAACCTTGGCCTTGAGGAGTGTAAGTACGCTCTCACTGGTGCGGCACCCATCCGCGTTGACACGCTAGAGTATTTCGGCTCCTTGGGCATGCAGATAAACGAAGTGTACGGAATGTCGGAGTGCACAGGCGCCACGACGCTTTCCACAGACGAGGCACATGTTTGGGGTTCCTGCGGCTGGGAAATGCCTGGCATGGAAGTGCGAGCTTTCAAGGTCGATCCTTCTGATGTCAACAAGAAGGTCCATGTTCCAAGGGCGCAGGACACAACAGTCACCGACGAAGCATTCATGGGCGAGCTGTGTTACCGTGGTCGCCACATTATGATGGGCTACATGGCTCAGCCAGACTTGGGCGAGGCACATGTCAATGAAATCAAGAAGAAGAACGCCGAAACCATTGACGCCGACGGCTGGTTACATTCAGGCGACAAGGGGCTCATTACCAAGGAAGGCATGGTGAAGATCACGGGGCGCTACAAGGAGCTCATCATCGGCGCCGGAGGTGAGAACATCGCGCCTGTGCCGATCGAGGATGCTGTCAAGAAGGCTTGCGATGGAATCAACGAGATCATGATGGTTGGTGACCACCAGAAGTACAACTGTGCTCTGGTCACACTGAAGGCGGTGGGTGCCAATGGCGAGACACCTGGCACGGACGACCTGGATGCTGGAGCAAAGCGTATCAACGAGGCAGTCACCACCATCACTGCAGCCCTGGATGACGAGATTTGGATCAAGGCCGTGACGGATGCCATCACAGCGGCGAACAACAACCCCAAAGTCTGCCAGAACAATGCTTTTACCATTCAGAAGTTCACGATCCTCCCAACCAACTTTTCAGAGCAGGAGAATCAGCTGACGCCGACGAAGAAACTCAAACGAAAGGTTGTCGAGACGCAGTACGCCGCGGCCATTCAAAAAATGTATGACACAAGCGGTGTCTACATCCGCTATTCGGCATGAGCCGTAACGGCGCACGACCTTGGCAGACATTCTCCAGGGTGGCCTTCCAGCAACAGGGGTAGGTGCCGTTTGGGGAGGGATTGTCGGGTGGGAAAGACGAAGGTGAGCGGGAGGAAGGAAATAGAAGGACGACCAGGATGAGAGAGCAGGACGAGGGGAAGAACGGGGAGGAGCAGGGGGAGGAATAGGAGGAGGAGGAGGAGGAGGAGGAGGAGGAGGAGGAGGAGGAGTAAGACAAGCGGCAAGAGGGGCATGATGAGGGGAAGGGGGAGGCATGATAGAGTGGCTGAGGCTCTGTGCCTCATGATGGAGGGGTGTGAGGAGGAGGAGGAGGAGGAGGAGAAGCATGATGAGGAGGGGAAGGAAAAGGAGGAGGAGGCGGAGGATAACAACGAAGAGGAAGAGGAGCAGCAAGCGGTGGCAGCAGGAGGAGAGGGATGAAGGAGCAGTGGGAGGAAGAGGACGAGGAGGAGGAGGATGAGGCGAACCACAGTATCCCCAGGATGCTTCGGCGATGCTGCAATACACCCTTCCGTCCCAAGCCCCCTCCTCATAAGTCCCTACATGCCTTCCCCTACCGCCTACACTGCGAGAAGCGTTTCTTGAAATATTTGCACCCTGTGAGCCTGTCACTCAAGCGGGAGCCCATTTTAGTGAGCATCCACAAGGCATGCGCAAAAGGTAGTATCACGAAGTAACACGTAGCACCACAAAGTTCAACGAGGTCTCCAGCGAGAGCTCCGTTTCGAACAGTAGCCGCATCGCTGAAATTGTTGTGCAAGTGTAGACATAGGGTCGTTCATGTTGATGATGTTTCAATCCAATTTTGGAAAGTGTCCGCCCTCTATCCGTGTAGCTGGCACAGATGGTCACGTTTTTTTTGCTGCGGTTTAGGGAAGTCTCCGACGAGAGCAGTATTTCGAAAATCATACACCCTCTGTCCGTTTGGCAGCTGCGCGCTCTCAAGACGAGCGTGCGCGGCGCTGCAGCGAGAGCAACACTGTGCAGACGTGCGGCCCTCCATCGTGGTAGCTGCTGCTTTTCATGGCCCAGTGGTGCGGCACTGAGGCGAGAGCCCAGTGTCCAAAACGAATCGCCCTTAGTCCTTGTAGCTAGCACCTCCTCCTCCTCCTCCTCCTCCTCCTCCTCCTCCTCCTCCTCCTCCTCCTCCTCCTCCTCCTCCTCCTATGCGCGGAGCTAAATCGATATACTTATCTGGAGAAGACCATCCTACATCCGGACAACTGCCGGAGAGGCCCCAGCCTCGCAGTCACAGGCGGTGACGAAGGCTCATGCGAAACGCCCTCACCGCTCTACCGACGCGTCTGGGGATACGACATGGAGGAGCTTTTTACAACGGTGGAGGCCCGACCGCAAGAAACCTTCCACAAGAAACCCAACCCTGAGACCCCAGGACGTCCCTTGATTTTGGCGTAGGAACCTCACGCCTTCCATAACGAAGCCATCGAAGCCCAAGAAACCAAGGGCACCCTGGAGGCAAGCAGGATGTGTCCTGCAACCCTCGCCAAAATTAACCTCACAAATGTCTGACGTGGTTGAACTGCTTGTCGGAAGATCTGGGGCCGAGTATCGATGAGTGCGTGGTACTTGCATGCGCCGCCCCTCCAATGTCGGTCGATGTCAAACTTTCGAGTCAACTTCGGTCAGACTATCTTTGCCCTCGCCCCGACATTGAAGGGGCGGCGTGTCGACATTGAGGGGCGCGCCGAAATCGGAATGACGTGCCAGCAGTTTTTGAGGTTGATTTTGACGAGGGTAGTGGCATGGGCCCCCACTGTAGCAGGAGCAGTGCGGGGCAGCACGACGGAGGAAAGGGCCAAGACACAGCAGCGGCCGCGGCGGCGGCATCGCCCCACCCAGGCTGGGAGCCCCGGCGCCTCCTGCGGCAGCTGTCGCGCAACGGCGACGGCCCGAGGGACCGTCGGGCCCGTGCCCCGGGAATGGGGGAGGGATTGGGGAGGGCGATGGGGGAGGAGGAGGAGGAGGAGGAGGAGGAGGAGGAGGAGGAGGAGGAGGAGGAGGAGGAGGAGGAGGAGGAGGAGGAGGGAACTGAGGGAGCTGACTATGCCAAGTCCGTCCGAGGACCTGCTCGGCGCGCGCCGTCGGGCCCGCCCCGACCGACCCCAGGGGGCCCGCAGCTCCCCCCCAGGTTCTCTGCGGGGCGGACGGGGGCCCCAGGGACCCGAAAACCAACGCGGAGGGGAAGGGCCCCGCAGAGAACCCCACGAAGCTGCTACCCCCCCTGAGGCCACTCAGGCCTTCCGCGGCGCACGAAAACTCCTTTTCGCGAGTCGCCACCTGGATGAAAGTGTACATCCGCATCCTCTTGAGGTAATCGCGAACTGCTTCGCGTACACGTTCCCTTCCTGAGTGCGCATCTTCTGGCACGAGCCAACCAAGATGAGGCAGACTGCCCTGCGTCGCAGCGTGCTTCACAAGCACAGTCAGATACTGGATGCGAAAACTCCCAAAACGGCTCGCAACTGATGAATAGCAGCTGCTTCAAAAAATTCTTGCTCAACAGGGCGCCCCAGTCAAGTTCCAACTCGGAGATCCCGAACATCTCTTGGCAACTCGTTGTCGAAGTTCTTCTTCACCCAATTCAGGAGCTCCACCCACGTGCAGCCCCCTCCCTGCTCCTGGATGGTCTTGCTCACCTCCTGCTCCCCGACTTGCGCCAGGAAGTTGACGATGCCGACGCTGTGCAGATCGCGCAACTCCTGGGTCTTCTGGGTCTCGTTCTTGGCTGGCTCGTCGTCCAGCACCTCCTCCAGAGACGGGAAGAGCGGAATCTCGGGAAGGCCCTCCGACTCCGCGCATTTCTGCCCGACCACTCCCACACTGGTGTCACTGCCCAGGCGCCACTGCGCGTAGCGCTGCTCCCGGACTGCCTCGGTCTTGAGGAACACCTCCGCGTTGGCCAGCAGGACTCCGCTGAAGTCGTGGTCCTGGCGCTGGCGCTCGTAGCACTCCCTCGTGGTCTCCTCCACCTGGTGAACCTCGGACTTGAAGACGTCGCCATCCTCGGCCTTCAGCTCGCACTGCTCCTTGAAGTCGTAGCTATCCACGTTGTTGCCCTCCTCCTCGCCGTCGCTGTCAGCGAGGTCGTACCACTCGGTGCGCACAGAGCACCCCAGGTAGGCTAGTCCACCACCAGCGGCTCCGAGGACTCGTGCTGCTTCATCGCCTTCTTCACCTTCCGGCGCCTCCTGGAACGCGCCCTGGCACTGCGCGACCTGAGCCTCGCCTGCGGGGGACTTGGCGGCCGCGCGCCCTGCCATCCCAGCGGCGCCGGCGCCAGCGGCGGCCCCATCCAGTTGCCTGGGGGCGGGGCAAGCGGCCGTCCTGGTGAGCGCCTCGAGCTGCGCCTCCCCCTCGGCGTCCCGCGCGGAGAGGTCGAAGGCTGCTCCGGGACCTCTTTGTCCTTGATGGCCAGGAGTGGTGGCGCCTGCGACGGCCGCACCGCTAGCCTGGCCGTCTGCCTGGCGTTCGGCCTTGGCGCCGTCGCAGCGTCGGCAACCGCTCTCACAGCTGCGGCCACCGCCGGGGCCACCGCGGCTGCCAGTGCTGCTGCCACCATCGCTGCCTCCCGGGCGACCGGCGCTGGCCTCTGCCTCCACGGGGCCCTGCCAGCCTCTGGAGTGTCGCCCCATGCCATCGGCTCCGCGCCGCTGCGCCCCCGCGATGTGCGCGGCGCGAAGGCCCCCTCGGGCCCGCAGGGGCTCGAGCCAAAATGGCTACGGAGGAGGAGGAGGAGGAGGCGGAGGAGGAGGAGGAGGAGGAGGAGGAGGAGGAGGAGGAGGAGGAGGAGGAGGAGTGGGTGGGCGTCCCAAGAGGGTGGCCAGAAAGGGGGGGATGGCACACGATAGCCTGCGGCGTGTGCGCGGACGAGCGGGCCCAGGGGCTCACGTGCCAGCAATGTGGCAGCAGGAGGCGAACTCAGGTTCTTGGATCCGGGCAGCGTCGGGCAGAATGCCTTCCAGCATCTCCGCAAAACCGAAAAAGAAAAAGCACTGCATAACATGAACTTCTGGAGCTCCGCGCGGATTCCTTGCATCGGCGCTTGTGCCCCTCTGGTGGCGCCTCTGGCGCCGGCCCTGCAGCGCTCCGCGCGTCAGGGAGGGTGGCTTTCAGCGCAGATCCGAGAAATCCGCGCGGTCCTCAATTTTTTTATGTTTATGCAGTTCTTCCATCCTCTACAAAGAAAAGTGAAGCCCTGCCGGAAGGGTCGCTTCAGGACCGTGCGCAGCTTTGAACCAGCCGTCTGCATGTGTCTAGCCCCCCAAGTAAGCAACTCCTGCTGTTTCGCCACCTCGAAACCTTTCGGCCTCCCGTGCGCATTGACGCTTTCGGCCTCCCGTGTGTATTGACGCTCTCGGCCTTCCGTGTGCATTGACGCTTGAAGAGGTCCACGGCCTTACCCAAGAGAGCGCGGTATCGTGCGTCAGCGATTTCTGCACTGCGTCCTGGGAAGGCCTGGCCGAGCAGGCCAGAAGCTCGGAAGTGCCTTGGACGGCCAGGGCGGCACACCACCAAGGACTTGCTGGAGGACGCCGTGAATGTGGGTTCTCGTTTGTGCTCTTCCTGTGCGCGTGGTCAGTGGTGGCACCCTGGGGCAGATGCTACATGAAGCCGGATGAAGAATGCACCCGAGCGTTGTTGACTTTGCCACGGCCAGGGCCTGATAGAATGGCAACGTGCACCAACAACCGATTTGCCTGGGAAGGAAGCTCCTCCTCCTCCTCCTCCTCCTCCTCCTCCTCCTGGTCCTCTTCCTCCTCCTCCTCCTCCGTAGCCATTTTGGCTCAAGTTCGAAACGCTTCCCTGGCGCTTCGAGCTTGGTCGCTGCCGAGGGGACGGCTCAGAGCGGCCTTCTTGCGAGGACAGGCCTCGCGGCATAGGAGCTTCAGTGCCCGTGCCTTTTGTCCGCATTTTGCGACATCCAATCCACTCTCGGTTCTCATCTTCCGTGCCGTGCGAGGCACCTTCCCGTGCAATGTGTCGCAAAGGTGTCAAGAAAGCTGTGAGAGACGACAATCGCCGTGCCCGAGAGGAGCGCAGCCAGAGTCGTCGAGGTCTTCGCCATCGTTCTAGTTCACACTCCGAGTCAGAGAGCCGCTGGTCTCCGAGCCGCAGGTCCCACAGTCGCAGCCGTGGCGCTCGCAGTGATGGCATGTCTGACAGATCATCGAATCACCACTGTGCAGTGGATCGTCGAAGTGAAGATCCTCATAGTGAGGTTCATCATGGTTGCAGCGGCTCTGCATCCAGTGGCTCCAATGGTGGCATTTCTCCAGATGTCATGGCTGAGTTGCGATCGATGATGGGAGGTCTTGAGTCGAACATCACCAGGTCCATCGACTCGTCGACGGCCGCGTTGCAGGTTCAGCTGGCAGCTCATGAGGCATCGATCATTGCGTTAAATTCGCGTGTTGAGACGGCCCAGTCCACCCTACAGCAGCACCAGTCGCAGATCGAGCAGCTTGGCGCCCAGATCCAGGCTGTATATCAGTTGGCCTCGCAAGCATCTTCAGGAGCTTCATCGGCTGCGTCATCTTCTGCTACCCCGACTGGAGGTGGCCGTGGAGCTGTGATGGCAATCGTGGTCGTGGCCATCAAGTCGGTACTAATCCACTGGTGCGCTTCATTGGAAACTTTCCTCGGCCTGTTCATAAGAATGTTCGTGAGGCGCATTGCCGACAAGTGATGAATGCACACCCGCATCTCCTTCAAGATGCAGAACCAGTCTTTCATGCTGTGGCTCAGAATTATAAGACTGTATTCCGCACACTAGCGTCTGCCAAGCAGTTCAGTGAGAATGTCAACGCGTCCGCCCTGCAGTGGGTAGACCCCCGTAATGGGTCAGCCCACTCACTGAGAGTGCGACATGACTTGCCTATTGATGTGCGGGACCGCCAACGCACGACAAGCCGCATCTACCAGCCGATCTTAGATTTACTTCGTGGTCATCAGTCGTGGGCTGCCGAATGTAAGCTTGGGGTGAATGGATTCACAGGTGAGATCATGGTCGTCGCGCCTCAGGGTGTGTTCATCATCGTGAAATTGCTGAAGAGGAGTGAGTCCACTGAAGAGTTCTATGCCGTTCAGGAGGAGCTGAATCTGTGGGGTACCACGGCCGAGCAGATACAGCAGATCTTCAATGTCGCACACCAGGCGAGCCGCATTGAGAGCTACCTGTAGGATCCTCCCGTGAGGCAGTCCCGCGAGCGCCGCGCCGTCTCTTGCCTGCCCCCTCCGCTGCGGGAGAGCGAGCATCCTCAGCAGGATGCGTTTCGCTCGAGCAGAGGACGGCTGCCCGCGCGTAGTCTCTTGCAGCGGGAGAGCCCAGAACATCGCTCGAGTGATGCTCAGCGCTCGCGCAAGGAGGCCAGCGAGGGCCCCGACGGTGTCTGCTCCGACACTTGTTTCGTTTCCCGAGCTCGCTCTCGGCTTTGCAATTATGTGCCAGGTCCGCGTCCCCCTCCTCCCTCGTCTCATCCATATGTTCCTGCTTGTTCTCTTGGCATCTGCAGTTGGAAAATTCAGACTGTCCTCGGCTCTGTCCATTCGAACCAATCCAGCTTCCGATCTAAGTTGACTCATACCCGTTCCTTGCTCAGTAAGTTCCAGGTTCTCGGGGTCCAGGAGTCTCACGGTGGCGAGGGTGATATCGTACATTTCCAGAGAGAAGTTCGGACGCACCAGGTTTTCGGCAGTTTCTGTGAGTCTCCTTCTGCAGGTGACAATATTCTTCTTGTCTCTCGTGAGTTTCTCCGCAGCTGGTCTCAGTGCGAATTTGTGGCAGTGGTGCCTGGGCGCATCTCTTTGCCGCGCTTGTCCTCCGAGAAGAGAACTTGCAGTTCCGCAACCTCCACCTCGATCCAGAGTGGGGCACCAATGAGCTTAGAGGTGTGTATTCGAAGATCGAGAAAGCGCTTGGGAAGCCAGATGTTGCCACGAGCTTCGTTTTCGGGGACTTTGACTTCTTGGAGGTCGGGGGGTCCAGGGTGGATGCTTCCACGGGCCTTGATGGGCCCAGCGCCAGCCGTGTGGCCTCGCTGTTTACGTATGTGTTTCCGTATTTGGCTGAAGTTTCCCAGGAAGACGATACTCACCGTCTGCTGGGTGATGAAATGTGGTCTTACGGTCGGTTAGACCGCCTTTGCTGTTCCCTGCCCACTCAGGACATTCTCGACCTGTGTCCGAGCGCCGGCGTAGTCTGGCCTGCCTCCGATTTAGCCAAACCTTCGGACCACGTCCCCGTGTTTCTGAGGCTTGTGCCGTGGAGGCCCCAGGGTCCATCCCCGATCCCTGTTTGGGTGGCTAATCATCGCGTATTTCAGGAAGTGGTCCAGGACCTTATCGCGCCGGAGGAGTAAGGCCAGAACTTAGACGATCAGTTGCAGGGCATCAGAGATGTCTTCTATTACGCGGCTGGGCGCGTCAAGGCCCACATTGCTAGTCAAGGAGCTGAGTCGCTTGAGGAACGAGTATCTTGTTGCTTAAAATTGCTCGGACCGCTCGTGGAGGGCGTTTTCACAGCGCCAAGAAAGCGATCTCTGGTTATTCTGTATTGGGGAGATTTTATGATTTGGAGTTGAATATCTGGTCTGACCGTGGGGCATTGGATTTGCACCTGGGGAGTTTGATGAGAGATATATGTTCCAAGCGTGAAGCGGCGCTCTGCTCTGTTGTTGAGAAGTCTGAGGCGGACATCGCCGAGGCTAAATGCTCTGCTGCTGTACAGCGTATTCGTGATATGGCTCGTGCTTGGCGGTCATGTGGCCGCAGGATTTGTTTGCAGCAGGTCACTGACGTTGATGGCCAGCGTTCCTCTGATGGTCGGAGGTGCGCCGAGATTCTTGCCTCGTACTGGGAGTCGGTCTTCCAAGATGTCCAGGCTAGTGAGGAAAGTATTGAGGATTCGTGTTCTGAGATCACCCCGATCCCCTCCCACCCGTTCCACTACCAGGCCAGAGGTTTAGCATTGCATCCTTGGGTGGCCCCTGAGTGCAAATTTCAGGATATTATCTCTTGGAAGAAAAACACTGCCCCAGGGCCTGATGGAGTACCTTATGCTGCTTGGGAATCGGGTGGCGATTCGGCTCAGCATATCCTGTGCGAGATCTACTTGAGGATGATTCAGACTGGGCGCCTCCCTCCTGATTTTAACGTTGCTAGAGGTGTGTTTCTGCCTAAGGACTGTCCAGGCGGTACTGATACCGCTGCCCGTGCGCCAGCGTGCACGAGGCCCCTATCATTATCGAAATCTGACAACAAGATTGTCGCCAGCTGCGTCGGCTTTGCGGTCTCAGAGGTTGTGAAGGACACAGCTGAGGATTGCCAGAAGGGTTTCGGTAAGGGCCGCCAGCTTCTGGACAACGTGTTTCCCCTGGACGCTGCGTTTTTGAAGTGGGCCATGATGGGCGTTTCCCCTCGGATTGGATCGGCGCTTTTTGATGTTAAAAGCGCTTTCCCCAGTGTCATTCACAAGTATATTTGGGCTGTCTTACGGCGTGTAAATCTTCCTCGGAATATTCGTCGGGCAACCAAGTCGTTGTATTCGGATATGCGGATGGGTGCATGTATTCACGGCTGCGATCCTGTATATATTGCGGTGAGAACGGGTGCGAAGCAAGGCTGCCCCATTTCTGGGTT